ACTAAAACCCATTCTAAATTGGCGCCACCTCGAGACAACCATTCACGCTTTCATCACCTCAAGGTTGGATTACTCCAATGCAGTTCTGTTTGGCATTTCAAAAGCCGCATTATCTCGCCTTCAGCTGATACAAAGTGCGACAGCAAGATTTCTGACAAATACTGGCCATCGGCAGCACATCACTCCAATCTTAGAAAGACTTCACTGGCTTCATGTGCACTACCGTATACGTTTTAAAATTTTATTGTTTGTTTTTAAGGTGCTGAATGGCTTAGCACCACCTTACATATCCGAGTTACTCACTCCTTATGTGCCGGACAGGACTCCCCGTTCAGGTGACCTACACCTACTACAGATTCCCCGTCAACGCTGCAAAACCCATGTGAACAAGCTTTTTCTGTCTGCCCTCCGAAACTCTGGAATGATCTCCCGTTGAATATCAGACTCTCCCCCTCCATTGGGGTTTTTAAGTCTCACTTAAAGACTTACTTTTATTCCCTTGTTTTTACTGCCTAGCTATTTTATCTAGGTTTGTTTACACTGTTCTTTTACCGATGTTATTGGCTTCTCTTGTTTGGTTCTTTGTGCTAAGCTCTAGCTGTTTTATTCTTTTATATTATTCTTTTAACCTTTTATTTTTTTACCCCTGTACAGCACTTTGGTCAGCTCACATGCTGTTTTTAAATGTGCTTTATCAAATAAATGGAATGGAAAACATCATATTAATAAATCGGGACTAGCTTAAAACTTTTGCACATTACTTTGTACGACATAGACACTTTGACCTAGTCGTGTGTTGCTTTGGCAGCAGCTAATTCCCTTTAACACACATGTTGTGATTGCTAGTCACTGACTGGTTAAGTGTCATTCAGCTCATGGTGACAGAGTTTATTTTAGCTTTGGGTTGCTTTACTTTCATCGATGCAACTGTGTTTTGTTCTCGCCGGGATCTGTGGTGTGTCAGGAGTGACTCATCGCTTCCTTCATAGCGCATCTCTCACAAAACCTGCTTTTTGACATTTTTGGGGGTGTAACCAAGTGTGTGTATTTATATTTGTTTTCCAGAGTGTTTATGTGCTGTTGATGTGGCTTCGGCACTTTCCATTTATGGTATTTTTAAAGTTCTGTCACAAAAAAAAAAAAAATACAGGAGTGATTGCAACGTTGCATCAGATCCAGGTCCATGTTAACGCACTCTTATACTGATGCAGCTAACTGAAGACCTACTTAAACAAATGTGTTTGTCTTTTGAAAGCAAATAATTAATCAATCGATCAAACAATTCAATAGCAAAACAAAATGAGCACAAAAAATATTTTGTTGAATGTGCGTTCTTGTTTTTTCTTTTATGTTGTGAGTCAGAATAAACTGTGTTCAGCAGAGCTAAATCCATGCATGTGTGACCAGATTTCTGATGTGATAGGGTTTTAAAAATGTGGATTATGTTGTTAGTCTAGTTAATAACTGCTAGCTTGTTAGTCAGCTTCTCCTGTTGCTGACTACCACTAACCTGAAGGTCCATTATTCAGAAAACCCAGTGGAAAGAAACTACTTGAATCCGACAAAAAATGAAACACAAACATTTCTTTCTAACTGCGCATCCATTCCTCTTGATTACATAAACCAGAACAGCTTGTGTGCATTCGTAAAGCTTCAGACTAAATCTCCTTCTCAGTGGCCTAGTGGTAGTGTGTGCCCTGGGACTGAGAGATCAGGGTTCAAATCCTGGTCAGGTCAAACCAAAGACTTTATAAAATGAGACCCAACGCCTCCCTGCTTGACACTCAGCTTTAAGGGGTTGGATTGAGGGGTTAAACCACCAAATGGTTCCTGAGCTCAGCCACAGCTGCAGCTCACCGCTCCCCACGAGGATAAGTCAAATGCGGAGATGTAATTTCAGAGTGTGATGATGACTAATGGGATCTGCAAGATCTGAAACTTCCATTCACACATAATGAATGCTAAAATATAACACGAGGGGCTGCATGTGTTGTTTTTGTGACCATTTTGTTTTAACAAGCATGAATCATTTCCTTTTCACAGGTATGGCATATCCTAATAACTACATTTCACACGGTGTCAAGTCAAGCTTGGATGTTTTTCAGAGTAGGAACTATCTTCAGCAGAAGGGGTTACACAGGGACAAGAAAGATGATGCACCACTCTCTGAGAGGTAACTTTACCAGAGAGAATGGTGTTCTGAGTCAGTCATTCAGAAAGTCTGTTCAGAACTAAATACATCTACCAATATCAGAGAGGCAGCCGGTAAGATACATTTATAACACATGCTGGTTGTGTATGGACTTTGCTGCTGGTTAAATAAGAAACTGTTGACCTGGTTGTTTGTTTGCCTAGGCGTGACCCAAACAATTGAGATTCTGGGTGATTTGTTTGGCTTCACCATAACATTGTGGTTATTTGCCAAGTAGTGAGATAATTACTCTGTTTCTTTATTTATAGAATCAGAAAATGCTTGTAGCAAACTGTTTGTGGTGGGTTTCTTAATATTTCATGTGGCGATAAATCTGCTCCCAAAATGGTTTGTCCAATTTTGGGTTCTGTGATTAGATTTCAATAGTAGATGTATTATTGATAATTATTTGATGTTTGTTAATGCTGTATAAAGTTAATGCTAAAAATAATGATGTAAAACTAATTTAAGGGTATATGGTGCTTGTTTGAAGGTTTTTCACCTGACCTGACCCGAGCTGACATGCTGAAAAATAGACATAAAAGCAAAAAGTAAAGCATCGTTTCAGTCTCTTGAGTGAAATCCAGTTCCTCAACTCTGGGTGGATGTTTATCCCTCAAGTGGGAAGGCACAAAAGAGTGCAGGACTTGACACACGGTCACATGTAAGTCTACCCATAAAGAGCTCTGTCACATGCATGAGACATGCCTGAACTAAAGAGCCGTCAACGTGAGTGCATCTCATCTCTGTCTTGTCTTATGACAGCTTTTTTCTTCCATATAATAAATCACTATGCCTTAAGCCCTCCCTGATATTATCAGTTTATTTTTTCTTTAAGCGCTCTCTCACAAGTTTAGATGGTTTTATGAATAACCTTTATCTTTACGAGCCCTATGCTTTGATTTTCAGAGAAAAGGTCACAACTCTTCCTAGAAAGTTGAGTCTTGGAACAACTTTTTACACCAGGAATTTTTACGAGTGCGATCCTTGTATGTGCATTTCTAGTTAACTTGTCTGTGAGGAAAAACCTGTGATTTAGATTTCTTCATTTTGACAAAGCGAGGCTCATAACATGTCACGCATGCTTACATTTTAAACATTTTCTGTGCAAAATGACAATTGCTGCAACTGATCTTAGTAAAGGAAAAGTGCCATGTTTACTTTGTCTCCAACAGCAATCTCAACTGGACCATTCAGTTGTCGGTCTCGCTGAACCACTGCACTTCCTTTGGTCCTTCTTTCATTATGCATTTGCGTATTTTGCAGCAGAGATTCTGAGAGGTTCGTCGCTCAATAACATCAGAGAATGATAAATGACCCGCACTTGTATAGCGCCTCTCAGAGTAAGGACTCCAAAGCGCTTTACACTACAGTGTATCATTCATCCATTCACACACACATTCACACACTGATGGTGGTCAGCGCAGACAAAGGCAAGGCTGCCGAGCACTGGCGCCACCGGTCCCTCCGACCACCACCAGCAGGCAAGGTGGGTTAAGTGTCTTGCCCAAGGACACAACAGCAGAATTCTCTGTCCGGAGCCGGGATCGAACCTGCAACCTTCCGATTACTGGACAACCCACTCAACCTGTTGAGCTACTGCTGCCCCAGAAGGAGAAACAGCGGCTGCTACCACTTCAACTTTAGGGCAAACTAGAGTCCCAAAAAGAAACACCATTTGAAGCCACAGACAACAAAAGGCATTTGGACCTAGAAAATGGCAGCTGGTGTTTGAGTTCAAAACTAGCTTGTTTGCAGATTTGCTATAACAGCTTTAAAAAAAGAACATGACAAACATCCAAAATTGGCTCCTAGTAAATATTTTTACTCAGCTGTCACCTCACCTCACTTCCTCCGCTTATCCTGGTCCAGGTCGTGGAACAGCATGCCAAGTAGGGCCTCCCAGGCAATCCTCTTCCCAGCTGTTCCCTGGCCAACCTTGAGATGTATTTCCTCCAGGTAGTCCTGGGTTGACTCGGGGCCTCCTGCCAGCAGGACATGCCCAAAACACCTCCCTAGGGAGGCGTCCAGGAGGCATTCTGACCAGAGGCCCGAACCACCTCAAATGGCGTATTTCGGTGTGGAGAAGCAGTGGCTTCACTCAGAGTTCCTCCCGGATGTTTGAGTTCCTTACCCTATCCCTAAGACTGAATCCGGCCACCCTGCGAAGGAAACTCATTCCGGCCGCTTGTATCCGCTATCTTGTTCTTTCAATTATCACCCAAAGCTCATGACCATGAGGATTGGGACGTAGATCGACCGGTAAATTGAGAGCCTTGCTTTCTGGCTCCGCTCCCTCTTCACAACGACAGATCGGTTTAGCATTCCCATTGCCGCAGACGCTGCCCCAATCCGCTTGCCGATCTCCCGCTCCCTCCTTCCCTCGCTCGTGAACAATGTGACAATATTTGACAAATCTTGTCACATCGGATTCATTTATCCACAATTTTAATTGTCCTTGAAAAAACAAGACGCGTGACATAGCGGAAGTGTTGATCGTAAGTAAAGTAATTTGCATTCGGGGTAGGTGAAAACGTTCGTTCTGATTAATAATGATTGAAATGTTGCGTTTGCTTTGAGTTTCTTGCCTGTTATATGATACATTGGCTTGCCTTGAGGCCATCCTCACGCGGCTGGACTGGACAGCAGAGGGAGCCCTCACACCAGCAGATATCTCTCTCTCTCTCGCTCTCTCTCTCTCTCTCTCTCTCTCTCTCTCTCTCTCTCTCTCTCTCTCTCTCTCTCTCTCTCTCTCTCTCTCTCTCTCTCTCTCTCTCTCTCTCTCTCTCTCTCTCTCTCTCTCTCTCTCTCTCTCTCTCGAAAGTGGCACTTCAACTGGCTATAAGAGCAGTTTCAGCACCTTCGGGGGAGACAGATAAAGTGAACGCAGCGCCGGGTCACGGTGGAATGGTTCAGAGATTAATCACAGAACTCATCGGGGTGCCGCAGCGGCGCGCGCTGACATTTCCAGCCTTTACTACCGCACACCGACCGACTGGAGGACATCAGCAACAGTTAATGAAAGAAGAAACAAGGATGAGGATAGACTGTCAGACCACGTTCACACCCTCCTCATCTTCTCCGGTCTGCTTTACTTTGGCTTTCGGTTCTGTCGGTGTCGCATGAAGCTAGGAAAAAGGAGAAAAGGCTTTTTAACTTCACCTCCAAAAGGTAGGCGATGATTCCGCGCATCCGTGCTCTAAACTTCTCTCTCTCTGCATCACCGCCTGTTTACACCCAGGCTGTGGAAACAGCCTAGATGCACCCGGCATTGTGGTGGCTGGCTTCCAAAACCAGCAGCAGGTGCGAATACTCAGCCTGTTAAGTAATTATCCAGTTCTCCCACTTTAACTGACTTCAACAAAACGCCCATCATCCCAACTTGGCAGAGATCATTACTAATTAATGGAAACTGATGTAATTATTGAGTCATTATAGTTTTAAGACTTGTAGTTTTAAGACGCGCGCGCGCGCGCGTGTGTGTGTGTGTGTGTGTGTGTGTGTGTGTGTGTGTGTGTGTGTGTGTGTGTGTGTGCGCGCGCGCGCGCAGGTGTTGGATATTCCTTTGGATCTATTTCAGCTCACTAATAGAAACGTTGACTCATAAAGAACCATTGATTGTCATTTGGTGGTAAGGTTGGGTGGTTAATGTTTGTCCAGGTGAAGTCTTTCTACAGGGCATGATGTCTAATTCTATTAGTCTTTACAAAGCTGTAGTTTTATGTTGATGAAATAACTCAGACCCTCATCACACCTGGTTACTCCTGCGCTCCTTTACCTGTGATCATTAGCTTTAAATGTGTGAAATAGTTTAATTTCTCTGTCTGTTCTTCACAAAATATTGTGAATATTATAAGTCACCTGTTTTCCCAAGTACATACCAACCACACTTAGTTGAGCGCTATTTTTATCATTCTTATCATCATTCTTTTCGACTTATTCTTGAGGTATGAAGTCTGGTTTCATTTAGAATAGTTTATAATTATAGAACAGAAAACCCATGCATTTGTAAAGGTATTTAGGATGATATTGCTCTGTTAATTTAGCACTTTTTTTTTCAAGATTCAAAGTTAAACAAGGCATTTAATGATCTGGTCGAATTTTTATTCATTTATTTGGTCATAGTGTGTGAATTGGCAGTTTTAAAAATGTCACACAAAGATTAATGAAAGAATTATTCAGAATAACTAAAAATGTTTCATAGTGAATAGGGATGTGTATTGGTGAAATTCTGATGATACAAAATGTAACGCGATACAGGTATGATGTATCACGATATATTGCGATACATTCAGCCAGAAGATATTGATTTTTTTAGACTGAATTTATTGTAGGAAAATTCAGTAAACAGTCCAAACTGATGCGTAACTTGTTTAACATGAGGTACCAGAACCATAATAGATGGGTTTACATTTCAATGGTGGAAACAAAATCCATTACACACAGCTGCCAACTAGTGGTCGGAATTGCTCCAACAAAAGTAAATAAATAAAAATAAAAAACTGGTACACAAACGTTTGCATGTAAATTCTTCCAAAAATGTGTGAATATTGATATAATTTCACAAGAAAAAAATCACAATATGTTAGTGAATCTAATTTTAAATATATTGAATAAAGCAAATATACAGTGTTACTTTAATCAAGCACTAAGTTATGTGTCACAATACTCATTTTAAGATTTAAACATAAAATTATAACCCACTAAATATTAGTGGTGTAACTGTACACTTAAAATCCTGCTTTGATGCATAACTTGGTTTTGTTCTAACGGTTTGGTCTATTTTTGGTAAAGTGAAGAAACAAAGTGGGAAAAAGTTTTAATTTCATGTTAATGGGTATGGCTTTAATGACAATAAAAACAAAACTTTACTTGCAGTAAAGTCTCCAACAAATATTCTCAGATAACATAAAAGTTTGGAAAATAAATTGTAACAAATAGGTAATAACTAACAGTTTAAGTATTTTCTGTTGAGGAAAGTGTAACAATCTCTCAGCTAAAACAAAAACAAAAAAACGGCTGAACTATTGAAAAGTAGAATTATTTTATATCTTTGCGAAATTAGCTTGTAGTTTAGTTCAGGTTCATTCAACCTTCATGTTTGTGCTATTACTTGCCCACATTGCCTGAAGAAAGGACAGATCTGTTGGCAGTTTCAATGTCTCCATTTGCAGAAAATGTCCCCTAGCTAGGACTGAGCGAGCTCATTTGGTGGATCATGAATTACAGCTAATTTCAGTTTTAACCCCTGTGTAGTAGTGCTGGGCAATAAATTGAAAATGTATTATCGAAATTTCTGACTTATCGAGATTATTTTTCTCATTTCAATAAATTTGATAATTAAAAAATGGAAAGATGTGTGTAGGTTGGCAAAGTTAATGTTCTTTTAAGAAGCTGTACCACCTTAGCCTGGCAAGCCAGACTAGATAAATGTATTATTTAGTCTGGCCACGCTCCATTGACGGCTCTCGGTTGTGGGGCGGGTTCTACCGTTGTCTTTCAAATGATCTCTGCATTCCACTGGACAATGAATGTGACATACTCTTGTTTCACTCTGTTGCATCATCCCACCCACCAGGCATACAGAGTGCCCTGATTGGCCCACAAAGCGGATAAAGCTCTGTGATTTGTTCACTAAGCAGATAGAGCACTATGATTGGCCCACCATTATGGACCAATCACAGCTCTTTATGTGTTTGAAACCCCTCTAGAGAGCTGTGATTGGCTAGCCAGAGTCCTGGTAGGAGCTGCGGAGGTTACAATGGAACATGCCTAGACCAAACTTTGCAAAGCAAGAATTTGGTCTAGTTCACTAGGCTAGTACCACCTTGAATCACATATAAATGTGAGTCAACGTAATACTTGTGACAGCCCCATCTAGTGGACAACTTTTTTCTCTGCACATACCTATAGTTATCGTCCATTCATCGTTATTGAGGTGAAATCCTCACTATATCGTAATATTGACTTTAGGCCATATCCTCCAGCCCTACTGTGTAGCATCGACAGGACATACAGAGAAATAAGGGCACAAATACACTCTCCTAAAGGATTATCAGGAACACCTGTTCCACTTCTCCTTAACTCATTCACTGCCAGCCGCTTCCTGATCACTAACGGCCTTCGCTGCCAGCGTTTCTCACCGTTTTTACTGTTTTTTTAAGAGTCACAGAACATTGCGCGCTAGGATTATGTCGATGCCAAAACAACCAAAACAAAGAGGAGACTCACCTCTTACATCAGGAAGAAGCCGTGTGTTTCGAGCGTTATCCGTTCTTTCATAATTCGTTGTTGAATTGTGATCTGCAGATGCTTTTCCGGTTCGCGCCTCACTTTTTTTTTACAGGAATGGCCCAAAACGATCTCCAAACACATGGATGTGTTGCTTCCTGATCATGTGATCTGTGACGTATGCGGATGAAGATCGGCTTCAGGGCTGAGATGTTTGTTCTCTCAGCGCGGGGGCCCGTTCCGATGCTCAAACAGTAAAAAAAAAATGCAAATGACGACTTTAGTCGTCATTGGCAGTGAACGGTTGGATCTAAAATGACGACTTTAGTCATCAATGGCAGTGAATGAGTTGATGCAATTATCTAATCAACCAATCACATGGCAGTTGCTTCAATGCATTTAGGGGTGTGGTCCTGGTCAAGACAACCTCCTGAACTCCAAACTGAATGTCAGAATGGGAAAGAAAGGTTATTTTAGCTATTTTGAGCGTGGCATGGTTGTTGGTGCCAGACGGGCCGGTCTGAATATTTCACAATCTGCTTAGTTACTGGGATTTTCACACACAACCATTTCTAGGGTTTACAAAGAATGGTGTGAAAAGAGAAAAACATCCATTATGCGGCAGTCCTGTGGGCGAAAATGCCTTGTTGATGCTAGAGGTCAGAGGAGAATGGGCCAAGTGATTCAAGCTGATAGAAGAGCAACTTTGACGGAAATAACCACTTGTTACAACCGAGGAATGCAGCAAAGCATTTGTGAAGCCACAACACGCACAACCTTGAGGCGGATGCGCTACAACAGCAGAAGACCCCACCGGGTACCACTCATCTCCACTACAAAAAGGAACAAGAGGCTACAATTGGCACAAGCTCACCAAAATTGGACAGTTGAAGACTGGAAGAATGTTGCCTGGTCTGATGAATCTCCATTTCTGTTGAGACATTCAAATGGTAGAGTCAGAATTTGGCGTAAACAGAATGAGAACATGGGTCCATCATGCCTTGTTACCACTGTACAGGGTGGTGGTGGTGTAATGGTGTGAGGGATGTATTCTTGTCACACTTTAGGCCCCTTAGTGCCAAATGGGCATGGTTTAAATGCCACGGGCTACCTGAGCATTGTTTCTGACCATGTCCATCCCTTCATGACCACCGTGTACCCATCCTCTGATGGCTACTTCCAGCAGGATAATGCGCCATGTCATAAAGCTCTAATCATTTCAAACTGGTTTCTTGAACATGACAATGAGTTCACTGTACTACAACGGCCCCCACAGTCACCAGATCTCAACCCGATAGAGCATCTTTGGGAAGGGGAGCTTCGTGCCCTGGATGTGTATCCCACAAATCTCCAACTGCAAGATGCTATCCTATCACTATGGGCCAACATTTCTAAAGATGCTTTCAGCCCCTTGTTGAATCAACGCCACGTAGAATTAGGGCAGGTCTGAAGGCAAAAAGGGGTCAACACCGATAATATATAATCATATATGATAATTATAACATAATTGTTTTAATAAAATTAATCAGGTGCATACATTTGGGCACTGTTGCAATTTTATTAATTCCAAAACCTTTAGAACAAATTATTGGAACTCAAAATTGGTTTGGTAAGCTCAGTGACCCTTGACCTCTATACACAAGTGAATGAAATTATGAGAGTATTTAAGGTGGCTAATTGTAAATTTCCCTCATATTTGAATATTCTCTGAAGAGTAGCAACATGGGGGTCTCAAAAGAACTCTCACATGACCTGAAAACAAAGATTGTTCACCATCATGGTTTAGAGGAAGGATACAGAAAGCTGTCTCAGATGTCAGCTGTCTGTTTCCACAGTTAGGAACATATTGAGGAAATGGAAGACCACAGGCACAGTTCAAGTTGAGGCTTGAAGTGGCAGACCAAGAAAATACCTGCTATGGTGGTGGTTCCAGCATGCTG